GTTATTTTTTTAAGTTATTTATTTATTTTTTGAAGATCGGCCCTGAGATAACGTCTGCTGCCAATCCTCCTCTTTTTGCTGAGGAAGACTGACCCTGAGCTAACATCCGTACCCATCCTCCTCTACTTTGTATGTGGGATGCCTGCCACAGCATGGCTTGATGAGCGGTGCCATGTCCGCACCCGGGTTCAAACCAGCGGATCCTGGGCCGCCAAAGTGGAATGTGTGAACTTAACTGCTGTGCCACTGGGCTGGCCCCTTTTTAAGTTTTTAAAGTCAAGTTTATTGAAGCATAATTTTCTTTCTTTCCTTCTTTTTTTATTGTGGTAACATTGGTTTATAACATTATATAAATTTTAGGTGTACATCGTTATATTTCGGTTTCTGTAGATTGCATCATGTTCACCCCGAAGACTTATTACAATCTGTGTGATGGTTATTTTTATGTGTCAACTTGACTAGGCCATGGGGTGCCCAGATATTTGGTTAAACATTATTCTGGGTGTGTCTGAGAGGGTGTTTATGGGTGAGATTACCATTGGAGTAAAGCAGATTGCCCTCCCTAATGTGGGTGAGCCTCATACTAATCTGTTTGACCTGAACAGAATAAAAAGACTGATCATCCCATGAATAAGAGGGAAACTCCTTCTGCCTGACTGCTTTGAGCTGGGACATCAGTCTTTTATGGTCCTCAGACTCGAACTGAAACATCAGCTCTCCTTGGGTCTTGAGCCTGCTGGCTTTCAGACTGGAACTTATACCATTGACTCTCCTGGTTCTCAGGTCTTTGGGCTCAGACGGGAGCTACACGTCAGTTCTCCTGGGTCTCCAGCTTGCTGACTACAGATCTTGGACTTTTCAGCCACTGTAATCACGTGAGCCAATTCCTCATAACCTCTCTATCTCTCTCTAATTAAACATCTATATCCATCCTATTGGTTCTGTTTCCCTGTAAAACCTTGACTAATATAACCTTCATGTTCCCACCTCTACTGGTCAGGAATCCCCTTAAGACAGGGCTTATAATAGCCATTCTATGACCCAAGGAATTAAAAGCCATGGAGCTCTAGGAATCACATTGATTCCAGAGTCTATATAGAGGCAGGTGGTAAGAATAAAGATATCTATTGGTGCCTGAATATTCTATCGTCTCAGAGCTAATGGAAAATTTGCCTTAAAACTGCCTAACTGGTTATTAACCGGTGATTAGTAGCTTCCATTCTCCTTGTATGGTGCAACTATATTGAACCCAAGCTGTGAGTGGCAGTGGAGATCCACAGCCCTATTTGGGCTACCATGGTGCTCAGCTATACCTGTGTGGAAGACTTATTCTAATTGCCTAAGCAAGAAGGAGGCCTTTGCTTTGAAGAGGAGGGAGGGGGACTGCTCCTCTACCCACCGACCTCAGAGATACAGAAGGAGAGTGATCAGTTAGGGTCTTTTGTCTCTTGCATTTTTAAAACCAACTTACCCCAAATTAGAATATACATAGGCAGCTGGTGGTATGCTGAAGAGTACACTCCACCTTGGAGTAAGCATGGCACATCTTCCTGAAAATGATGTTGAGCCTTAGAGTCTTGAGAAATGCTAAAAGATGCTTTCTTTGTTAATGTCAAAAGATGCTATTCTGATGTGTGAAACATTTTACATTTTGTATCAAAGAATAAATGGAAGTGTGGCTTAAGACATATATATATATTTATGTATATATATACACATCTATATCTTGTATATGTATATGTATGCATCTTATATATAATAATCTTGTATATGTATATGTATGTATATATATTTGCATGTGTGTATTCCTTTTACATACATGAATATACATACATATATAGCCCTCTAAGAAAACATGGCTCTGTCATTGTAAAAAATGAGCCTGTCTCAGGATATGCCACATGTTCCAGGTGTTCATGACACATCAACCAGCTGGTTCTATTGAGGTGGTGACAAACATTATATCCTAAACAAGGGTTTCTCAACCTTTGTACTATCAATATTTGGGGGCTGGATAATGATTCTCTGTGGTGAGGGCTGTCCTGTGCATTATAGGATGTTGAACAGAATTCTTGGCCTCCACCCACTAGATGCCAGTAGCAGACTCTCTCACAGATGTGACAACCAAAAATGTCTTCAGACATTGCCAAATGGCTCCTGGTGGGCAAAATTGCCACAGATGAGAGCCACCATCCGGTGGTATCTGTTGACATGTACAGGCTGAAGAACGAGACATTATTCTAAGACATCACTGAGCTGTGTGCATCTCATAGCATCCCACATCCCTTCCTTGAGGTGTACATGCTCTACAGTATGTAGACCCCTCTTAGGGTCAGCAAACATAGATTAGCCCCATTGGAAGGTTTCTGAAACATATTTCCAGGCACAAATCCCAGAAGTGTTCCTTTAATCTGCTGTTTCCCGGGGTCTCAACAACCAAGTCCCTCCCAGAATCAAATCCATCCCTAAAACCCCATTTTTCCTCCCAAGTTCCCTGAAGAAGCCTCTTGATACTCTACCAAGAAGGAGGACATTGTGGTTTGGGGAAAGAACTCACCTTTTCATCCTTATTTTTAACACTGTAAGAGAAGCCACATGGAAATTTAATCTTCCTCCAAAACTCTTGCCTTGGTTCTAGCATCCAAGCTGAAACCCTGTGTTCAAAAAGCCACATCTGGGGTTGTGGAAAATCTCAGTTGCCCATGCTGTTACCCATGTGTACATGCCCAATATCTGGGGAATTCTGATCTGCAGTTCCAGGTAACTCCATCATGCCTCCCCTTCCAGATCTCACTAACTCCTAATACCTTACTTTCTTTTCTTGGCTATTGCACACTTCTGTTATACAGAAAGCAGGGGCCCCATAGAACTGACCCATGTGCTGCATGTGGTCTGTTGGGTCCCATCATCACTGTTCAGGTTCCTCCTCAAACTAATGACAGCAGAGGAAGCTGCACAACTTTTTCTTTTCCCATGCATTGCTCTGGTTTTCCCAGATGTGTGCTAAACAAAGATATCTGACTTCCTGGAAATTTTTTGAGCCAAACCCAAGTTCTTACCTGGTTCCCACACCTTTCCATACTTTGCAAAGTGGAGATAACAAAGAGCTCTGATAAGTTTTACATTAAGTTTTGATAAGGAAATGTATGTAAAACATACTTCATAAAGTGGGTGCTCAAAGCCATAAATTCTTGTCATTTCTGCACATGAACATATCATTTTCATTGTTATTCACCAACAATTCTAAATTTAACGCTAACTCTACATCCAAAATATCATGGCACCTATAGTTTAGGTGAGTGTCCAAACTCTGATGTCTTAATTTCTTGTACTCTTTTGTCCTTCCAGAATCATCCACAAAGATCTACCCATTCTACTAGATCTCTTTACATTCTTACAAACTAAACATACTCATTATATGATCCAGCAATCACACTCTTTGGTCTTTATCCAAAGAATTTGAAAACTTGTGTCTACACAAAAACCTACACATGGATGTTTATAGCCAGTTGATTACCAATGACTAAACCTTGGAAGCAACAAAGATGCCCTTCAGTAGGTGAATGTGTAAATAAACTGTGGTACGTCAGACTATTAATAGACTATAAATGAGTCCTAAAAAGAAAGGAGCTATAAAGCCATGAAAATACATGGGGGAACCTTAATTGCATATTACTAAGTGAAAGAAGCTGATCTGAAAAGGCTACATATTGTATTATTCCAACTATGTGACATTCTGGAAAACGCAAAACTATGAAGACAATGAAAAGATCAGTGGTTGCCAGGGGTAGGGTGAGGGGAGATGAATAGGCAGAGCACAGAGGATTTGTAGGGCAGTGAAAATACTCTGTATGACACTATAATGATGGGTAAATAACATTACACATTTGTCCAAACCCACAGCATGTACAACACCAAGAGAGAATGAACCATAAAGTAAGCTATAGACTTTGAGCAATTATGATGAGTCAGTGTAGGTTTATCCTTGGCAAAAATTATACCATTTAGTGAGTGATGTTGATATTGGAAGAGGCTATGCATATGTGGGGGCAGGAATTATATGGTATTTTATTGTAAACCTAAGATTGTTAAAAATAAAGTCTTGACAAAAATCCAAACAAATGACACAGTTACTCACTGAGGAGTGCATGAATGAACTGGTTTGTTTGTCCACTAACATCATATTATCTTAAAGACGTTTAAGAATATTTGATTATCAGGAAATTAAAAAATTACTTATTTCTGGGGACATTTATTTAAGTTGGGAAATGAACTCATATTTGAATAAATTTATCTGCACCAAGGACTTCAAGCTATATTTGAAAGAAAAAAGAATTAGCTTATATTTATGCATCTATGTGTTACTCAGCATGGCTGTAACTTCAAATAGGAGTGGAAAGTACAGGCGATTATGATGTTGAGGTTGGCAGGGGTCAAGTGAAATAGAGAACTTAGAGCTAAGCATTGGAGTTTGGTTTCTGTAGAGTAGACAAGGGAAACCATAGAAATTTGTAAGCAAAAGAGAGCCATGCTCAGATTTGTGTTGTTCAGAAATTTCTTGGACAGATTTTCATAAGCAAAAGTGGCCAAAGATAACAAAAGGAGGGGACTCTACATTTCCCTCTCTCTTATAGATAGAATTCAATAGTTTCACCCGTTGGCATCTCCCATTAGACCAAGATCCACAAGAGTGTGAATTTTCTTCACTAATATTTGCTTAAAGACTTACAATATACTGTGTCTCTATAGAAACTTGGAGGAATTGATTCATTGGCTAAATGTATCATGATTTCTAGAGTCTTATCAGTAGAATGTCAGAGAAAGTGGGCCAATTATGGTTGGATTTCTATAACACTTAGGTGATTTTGTTGACAATATTGGAAATGGCTTGGATCATCATAATAGCATACTAGAATGTCTGGGCAGTTTTCTTAGGGGCCCTGAGATTTTAGATATGACCCTCTGATGAAGAGGGGTGACACTAGAGATGGAGACATGTCTCAAGATTCCAGCTTTATTACAATTGAGCTGTCAAGCTGGGTTTGAGAAAAAGCTATGGCATCAATAGATGACCTCCTCAAGGTCTTTCTATGTGTGCTCAGGGGATAGGATTCAATCCTTGATCTGGCCTTAATGTGTTGCAAATTCCATGTACACACTGGTATCAGTTAAGGATTTCTTGGGCCTCTGGGAAGTGGGGGTGACTTTTTTTCTGTGTGAAAATCCAATGATCCAACTGTGCGTATGTCACCTCCTGTGGGTCTTCTGTTTCACGGTCCTGCATAAAAGGGAGATGATGAGTGAGGATGTGTACATATTCGTGGGGACTAGGAATAAATGGGACTGCATTGAAGAGGATGGGCTGATGAGGACCTACCTCCCTATTCACCATTTTGTCCACCTCAGGCTCTCTGTCCATTATAGCAGCATCTGTAGGGGATAGAAGTTGTATAAACACCTGGTATAGCACTTACGGATCTTCATTTCATATACAGACACCAAGATGCAGACAGAAGCAGTGGATGCCTAAGATTACTCATCTGCCCAAAAGCAGAGTCAGAAATTCCACCTCTCTAAAGTTCAAAGACCCATCCTAATAAAGGATCCCAATTTCTATCCTGTTGATTCTCTCTCCTCATTTCTGTCTTATATAGATTCTTCTCCTGGATATCAGTGGCTGCACTGGATGTGAGGATACACTGGAGAATTAGGTAATGGTATGCAGACAGAGAGGAGGTGCAGAGCACCAATGTTCTCTCTAGAAAGCACTAGCTCTGTAGGTCCTGCCTTGAAGCAAGCATCAGCCTGCAAGTGTGGAACACACACTTTCTCACTCTCATCCCAGCTCCCCACTTTGCCCAGCTAGCACTGGCCTGTTATTCCCAAGACTTACTCTTTTTAGCAGGGCACCAGTGATGAATGAGGAAGAAAAGAAGGATAGCAAGGAAGATGATGGCCACCAAAGACCCAATCAGAACAGGCAGATGTTTGGAGTTACCTGGAGGAAGATGTGAATCCAATAATAAGCAAATCATAACAACTCTCTTTCATTAAGTGTCTCCCATTTATTGACTGTTAGGTAAATGCATAAACATCTCTACCTCCACCACACCCTTGAATCAAACAATTTAAATTCTCCAATAAAAGGAAAAAGTGAAATCAAGGTCAAAGTAAGTTGAGCTGCTTTATGTCTTAGCCAGAAAATAATGCCAAGAGGTGTGAGCCTAGGGCTTCAGAATGCAATGTGTTTACTCTTTGTGGGCTCATGAGGCTTATATTAGGTTGATGCTCTGCTGATGAAGCAGAGGGAAAAGACAATCCTTTCTACTAGCTATTGCTCAACATATTTTGTTGTTGTCCATTTTTTGCCCCAAGAAAACCAGTCCTTTTGGGAACTAGGAGGAAAGTTGACCAGCAGGAAGTTCTGCCTCCTATCTCTAAGATCTGAAGTAACTGAAAAGAATATTGGTATTCACCTCCAAGGAATCTATCTATATCTCCACATATGATTGGAAGTGAGGGTGAGGTAGAGGTTTTTTGGTGAGAGGACTGGAATGGGGCAAAATTTATACCATGTATAGATCACTTTCTCTGTTCCAGGACCTGTGTTGTGTGTGTGTGTGGGGTTATGCTTTCACATTTTTGGCCTGACCTCATTCTCACAGAAAGCCCAAAAAAGAAGAGATTTAGCCTAATTTTATTGTGGATAAAATAGTGGATCAAAGAGGTAATCATACCGAAGTAGAACAATGATTTGAAGCCAAGTGTCTTTATCTTCCTGGTATCTGATTATACTAGGTGCCTTCATTTGCACCTCCCTGCATACTTTCTTTCTCTTCTGCCAATTATGAATTTACATGTTTTGAAAATAATTGTCAGAAAGTAATGAATGAGCCTTAGACCAAGCAACTAGGAAAAATCAGACCCAGTAGAACCTTTCTCCAAATGATTCTACCTAAACAACAGATCTTATATCCATCAACTTCATTCAGTTTGTGTCCAAGTTAGCACCATATCGTGCTAGGAGGTGGCAATTGTCTCTTACATAGTCTCCTGGCTCAAAGCTATGCAGCTTACAATTCATTCTTTTCATATAAGTCAGTATTAACCATATATGGTTTCCTAGTAAACCATGATATGACTTCCAATGGCAGTGAACATACAACACAATCTCTTTGTTTATACTTAGTTCTCTTATATAATCTGTATCCTCTCTATCTTTCTACATTCATCTTGTAATTCTCTCCGACTCACTCACAGAATTTCAGGTATAGACTTTTCCTTGGACATAACATTGTTCTCACTTTGGTAACTGCAAGACTCTTGGAATATTCTTCCATCAATCTTCAAAGAGTTAAATACTTCTTGTCATTAAGGTCACAAAATAAATATTGCCTGATGAGTGAGAGATTCTCTGCCACTCATGCTAAATTGTCCACTAAACATTATATATCACTTTATTTTAAATTTCCTGCATAGATGTTTCACAATTTATCATTCATTCATCCATTCGTGCATTCATTTTTCTGCCCTCCCACTTAACTATACTGCAATATCACCTTTCCAAGAGCAGAGGGCAAATTCATCTTGTCTGCTATTTGTCTTAGGCAGAAAAATGCATCTCCCTTTGTAGCCGCCCCTGATGCAGGAAGGGTTAATAATCACTGGAAAAGGCTTGCCAATAAACTGTGACCCAGAGGTGAGAAGGCCTGTCAGCCAATGATGGGTAAGATCTCCAGGGAGAGGCAACCTAAGCCAGGCACGGTCACCTCGGGGCACAGATGGAGACACAATATCGATATTGGGAGCAGGAGGGGCCGTTGCCTAGGATGCCTTGCCTGCTCTGAGATAAAAATATACGAGCACAGCAAAAACATAGTAATATCAAAACAGAGGCCGAGGGAGGGCTCCTTGAGAAATCACTAAGAATTCTTGGCATTCACTAATTATTTCATCCAGAACACCTGTGTATGTTTAACAGATGTAAGCTATGTATATATTGAAATGCTGGTTATAATAAACTCAGAGTGACCATCAGCCCTCTCCACATCTATCCTGATGTGTACATTGGATTGTGACACTGACACCCTTCCCAAAATGTCCATGTCCCAATCCCCATAACCTGTGATTATGTTATATTACATGACAAGGAGGAGGTAAAGTTGCGAATGGAATTGTTTGATAATCAGTTGACTTTAAAATAGGGAGATGATCCTGGATTATTTGAATGGGCCCAAAGTAAGCACAAGGGTCCTTAAAAGAGAAGGAAAGAGACAGAAGAAGAGCATCAGAGAAAGAGATATGATGAAGGAAGGAGGGTCAGAATGATTTGATGTGAGGTAAACTTGACCAATCATTGTTAGTTTTGAAGATGAAGGAAGATGACCACAAGCCAAGGAATGTGAGCAGCCTCTAGAAAGTGGGAAAGACAAGATAATGGATTCTCCCCTAGATCCTGCAGAAGGACTTCAGACCAGCTACCATCTTGATTTTAGCCAAGTGAGACCAATTTCAGACTCCTGACCTCCAGAACTGTAAGACAATTTAAAAAATGATGGTGTTTTAATCCACCAAGCTTGTGGAAATTTGTTATAGCAGCAATAGGAAGTAAATACGCATTGCATATCCAGCACATGGAACGGTACTTGACTGAATAAATTAATGAAGGAGTAATATATGTAGGTGAACTCAGTTCTCTTGCTGCAAGGCTCTTGCTCTACTGAGTACATCAAGGTTGCATCCTAACAGACAAGAACTCACTTCTGTTAGAACTGACAAAACCACCAGCTTCTCCCTTCTGTTCCCTCCCTCAAGTCCTCATGATTCTCATCTCCAGTTAGGAATGAGGACAGAATAAGTGTGACCTTAAGTTTATCCTTATCTTAGTGGCAGAAAATTAGAGATTTAAGAGTCCTCATTTATCTCTACATTGACCCAAGCCCCTTCTGCTATTGTATAGTCTAGGGATCAGAGAGGGAAGGTGTCAAGGCCAAGATCACAGAGCTGGAAGGTGGCTGAGTCAACACTCCTACTCAAAGCTTCTCTCTCCCAGGTTTCCACAAAGATAAGAAGGATCCTTTACTCACCAGTATTGGAGCTTTGTTCAGTGGGTAGAAGCCAACTACTTGAAGAGTTTCCTAGAAAACAGGACAGGAGAGAGATGAGGAAATGAAGCTTCCCATCCTCTACCCTACCGAAGCTGCTTTGTCTTCTAACGCTGAGCTCCTGGGAGTCCTGGGATCACCTTCCTGTATCCATGGGGACTTGACTCCCTCCCTTCAAGTTGCAGAGAGGGAGCAGAAGTTGATTATGACAGGTACCTGTACTCAAAATGAGTCTCTTACCTTGCAGTAAAGGCTTCTGTGCCACCTGGGAAATCACTCTGTGAGTGAGAAACCAGGAGGGGCTTCTGAGAAATGGATAATAGGGAGAGGATGATGCAACCTCTGATCTCCCAAAATGACCTGGTTGCTCCTCTTCCTAACTCTGCCCTGACCCCTTTCTCCATCTGCCTGGATGCATAGACCTTCCCAATGTGGGCATGCATGCAAGATATGAGGGAGGACCTTGGAGGTGCATTCTCAGTTTCTTTTTTCCTTCCTCTTTATTTATCTATGCTTCTTTCTCTCAGAATTACTAAGCATCCCCTAATTATCAGCAGGACACCCCTCAGATATGGCTTTAAAATTTAGTCTGAGTCACAAGACACAGGGCAAATTTGGAGCTTCCTCACCTATGACAGAAAGGTACAGCAGGTCACTTGGGTCTGACCACACAGAGGGAGAGTTATTGAAAGAGCCGTAGCATCTATAGGTCCCGTTGTGGGCTAGGGTCACAGGGCCCAGAGGGAAGATGGCCTGGAATGCACCATTATGGCTCTGCCCTCCAGCAAGCCAGAATTCATGGGCCTCCTCATCCCTGGATAAATGGTACACATCAAATGAGCTCTCAGAGCTGCAGAACAAGGTCACATTCTCTCCTAACCTCACCATGGGGCTCAGCTGGGCTAAGAGAGAAGGTTTCTTGTAGAGGCCTGGGAGAAAAAGAGACAGTTTAGTTAGAGAGGCTCTTCTTCCTTAACACATGAAGGACCTGAACTGAGAATTCACTCTCCCTGTTCTCCTGACTTCTCTTTCTCTCCCTTTCCCTCTCATGTCTATCTCTATCCTTCTACTTTCTCTGTTTATTGCTCTCTCTCTATGTCTCTGACCTTGCCTCTCTCCTATTTGGTTTCCTTTTTGTAATTTTTTTTACTCTCTCTGTCTCTCCTTGGATTTGTTTGTTTGATCTGTATCTTTTTCTTGCATTCTGAGTCTCTGTTTCTGTCTTGACCCTATCTTTTTGCATCTACCTATGTATCTAGGTATCTTTATCTATCTATCTACCTATCTATCTATCTATCTATCTATCTATCTATCTATCTATCTACCTATCTATCTTCATCTCCATGACCAGCTCTGCTTCTTTGTCTCTCTAATTCGCTTTTGGAATCTATCATCCACCCCTACATCACCATTTTTCTCTATCTTTGTATCTCCTACTCAGGTCTCTGCTTTTTAGGGTTTTTATCTCCCCCTTCCCATCCCCTTTTCTTTTTCTCCACCTCTTTTTTTTATGTGTCTCTGAGTTAGTGTCTGTCTCTCTGTTTCTTCCATCCCTCTGGCCCATTCTGTGTGTGTGTGTGTGTGCACATGTACACATGTGTTTCTATGTCTCTGCTTTTCACTGACTCTGCTTTCTCTCTGACTGCATCTCTCTGTGGGCTTTTGACATCAGTAATCCTGCAACATCGAAGTGACCTTGGAACATGTGCCTGAGAAACTTCAAGAACTCATAAAACACACAATATATAGTGGCTGGTGGCTCCTTCACCCAGGACCATGGTATTCTGGGGCACATTGTGGCTTAACCACATGGAATTAAGTCATGTCGGAGTAAAAAGAGCATCTATGGGTGCTACATGGGAAGAGGACACAGGACTCATGGGGAATCAGTCTGAGACAGGTCAGCTTGGCCCTGAAATGTGAGTCAGGTATGTGGTGTGCCTTTGGGTTCTCCTGGTAGTGAAGAGAATATGGAGTTAAAATGGAACTTCTAAACGTTCCCAGGTCTCTGAACAAACTCAGAGAGGAAGGGCACCCTCCCTTTGATATGTGCATATCTGTCTGTATCTCTTCCTTTACTCTATCTCCATTTATGACTCCCCTGTCTTTGTCCCTATATCTTTCCTTTATATTGTAACAAATGCTCTATATTGTTTCTCCTCTTTCACTGTCTCTCTTGGTGTAGTTGTCACCAAGTCTGTCTCTCTTCATAAGAAGCCAATTTTCATCTCCTTCATCACCACCTGGAGCTTTTAAGTCCTGGAACATCCCACCTGCATCCAAAAGAGGACAGGGGGCAGGTCTGGAAACTCTCACCTGTGATCTTGATGTTCAGTGGGTCACTGGGTGTCGACCACTCATAGGAGGAGTAATTGATAGAACCAAAGCATCTGTAGGTCCCCGCATGGGCTATCGTCACAGGACCCAAGAAGAAGGTGGCTTGGGAGCCCCCATCATGGAACTGCCCAACAAGGTGTAAGGGGCTCTCCATTACCCCCTCTCTGTGAAGAATGAAGCTGTCAAACACGATTTCTGAGCAACACTTCAGGGTCACATTTTGTCCTGATTGCACCAGGGGACTCGGCTGGGCCAAGAGGGAAGGTTTTCTGTAGACTCCTACAAATGTAGATGTTGTGAGTTTAGAAGAAGCCATCCTTTCTCGCCTCATCCCATGGAACTTGGAATGAGTGAGAATTTCTCCTCATATCTGTCTTTCTCTTTCCTCTTTATGTCCTTTTCTATCCGAATGCCCCCTTCTGTCTCTTTCTCTCCTTTTCTCTATTTCTCTGTCTCTAGCAACATCAGACTCAATTCCCACTGCAAAGTCTTTGGCGCTTTTGCTGTTTTTATCTGTTTCCTAAAGACCTCTTTCCTGCTTTCTGTGGTGGGGATGGGAGAGTGACTACCATGGGTTGCATTTCTGGTCTCTCTTATCAGCTCGGCCATGCTTTTTTTGATAAGTTGGAATTCCTGATAGGAGATAAGAATTAAGCAGTAAGGCAGGGACCTCCCAGTGTCCACCCACCTTGTGCCTGAGGGAAAGGGACACATCTGCCATGTCTGTGCCTTCTCCATGGTCCCAGCTTCCATGGAGTGCTCCTTGAGTCTGGCTCCATGAACACTGACTCCTCCCTGTGATACTGCAGTCTCGTGGTGGCATCACTAGACTGTCCTTACCTATCGTTAGGTAGGCTCACTTCTCCTTTTGGGCTTCCTAATTCATCCTTCACCTGGGTATCTGTATTGCTTACCTATTGCTGCTGTAACAAATTTCCACAAATGTGGTGTCTGAAAAGGACACAAATATATTATCTTATAGTTCTTGATGTCAGAAGCCCAACACGGGTCTCACTGGGCTAAAATTAAGGTGTTGATAGGGCTGTGTTCATTATGAAGATCAAGGGGTGAACCGGTTTCTGTGCGTTTTTGGGTTTAAAGAAGCAACCTGAATGCCTTGTTCCCTTCCTCCATCCTCAAATCCAGCGATTGCTGGTGGAGTCTTTCTCATGCTGCAAGACTGTCCTGCTTCCTTCATTCTCTTATACGGACACTTATGATGACCTTGAGCCCACCCAGATAATCCAGGATGATCTTCCCATCTCAAGGTCACCTGATTAACAACCTTAATTCCATCTTCAATGTTAATTTTCCTTGGATTGCAGCATAACATATTGGTAGATTTGCAGTATTAAGATGTAGACATCATTGAGGGGTCATTATTCTACCCACCACAGCACCCCAGTCCGTGTATTAAATCCTGTTTTATCTAAAATACTTTGAGTGGTTCTTGTAGTTCTAACTGGACCCTGACTGACACCCCCATGAGGAAATTCTGGGGTTAGGAATATTGGGACAGTGAATAGCCACTCTGGATAAGAGCTCTCTGACCTGTGACCACAATCACCAGGGGGTCACTGGGTGTTGACCACACAGAGGGGGAGTGCCTGTAAGAACCATGACATCTGTAGATTCCTGCATATTCTGGGGTCACAGGGCCCATGAGGAAGTTGTTCCGGAATGTTTTGCCCTGGAGCTCAGGGATGTGGGCTCCATCATCCTTGTCCAGTCTGAATGTGTCAAACCCAAGAAGAGAGTGACACTGAAGATTCACATGCTGTCCTTGAGGAACCACAGGGCTTGGCCAGGCAGATAGAGAGGGCTTGTCCTGACCACCTAGGGTAGAAAGAGGCACAGCCTTAGAGGAGAAAATGGGGACCTCCTCCCCTCCATGTGCTCAGAAGTTCCTCCTCCTTCCCCATAGTTCTAAGGCTCCTTTCCAAACCTGGGGGTACTCAGAGCTACGTGAAGACTCCCCAGCACCACATAGACATGGCAGCTTCCTACAATATGTATTGACTGAGAATTTTGAGCAAGTACTGAATAAAAGACTCTTACTAGATGTTGATGATGAAAAAATGTTAATGTAAAAGAAGACAAAATAGACAGTGAATAGAAGAAAACCTATGTGAATGAAGTCACATCAGCTAACACATGAAGCACATTAAACCATTGATCCTGCAACAGAACATTCTGGAATTTCAGGGGGTCATGGCATACAGTTCTCCCACCTCTTCTGATAGAAGGATGGCAGCACCACTCTGCAGCCCTGCATTTCCCTCATGGAAATGCTGGAGAACTTGAGTTATCATCTTGTCCTCAGAGGGTCTGTCATTCCTGGCACTGCTTCCTTCCCTTACTCTACAGACGACACCATTTTATCTCCAGACACGCCAGCCCTGAGCACCACAGTCTCCTCCAGGAGCCCGTAGAGCCTAGTTCAACTAAGAGGAAGAGTCTGGGGAGAGTTTATAGACAAGAATTGGGGCCAGGTTTCCAAGGGAACCCATTTTCTGGTTCACAAGAGATTTACCCACAAGGCTTACAGAAGTCAACCCATCACCCAACGTCCTATGCCTCCTGCCCTCCTGTTACAGGAAATATTTGGGATGGGTGGCAACCCAAGATTTGGAGAGAGGACTCACCCACTTGTGCCCAGATCCTCTGGACCAAGAAGAACTCTGGAAAGAAAGACTCATAATGGACGATCCATCTCCACACAAGACCTGGCTTCCCACTCCTGCCCTTGCCTGGCCTAGGAGCCCCACCAGTGAGGCCCGTGCTCGGCAGAAGATAAACTCAGCCAAAAATGCCCACCTCTCCCCACATGCACAGGGTGCTCTACTGTGGAGAGACACAGACTTCCAGGCCAATATTTCCACCATAGTGTTCAAGCCCCTTTGTTCCCTTCCAGGACTCACCAAGACACACCAGGCTGATGATCATGGGCGACATGGCGTAGCTTCTGCGGAACAGGAGGCAGCGACCCAGCAAAGCTGATGAGTGCACAGGATGTTGCAAGAAGAGCCCAGCTCATGTAACTTATAAGTTGACCACAGTGTGGAAGGATGACGCACACAGGCTCGTCTGACCCTACATATGGCAGAGGCGGGGGCCAGGTTGAGGGCGTAATCGAGCTTCCTGGAAAATGTTCAGACTAGAGCTGTCACTTCAGAGCATTTAATAGGGTCAGACTTGAAATAAAATCTTAGACCCAGTCCCTCCTAGGCTGAATGATCAAATTCCGTACTTCGATTAAAGGCCTCTGACGTATTTTTGTCGTTTGTATGTGAACTTCAAACTCTTCATGTGTGTTAGATATCTAACATATCTAATAGATATTATTAATATTATACCAATTGTAACATACAAATCAAAATTTATTTCCACACTGATATTTCTAGTATTGAAGCAGTGCCAGTTAAAAATGATTGAATTTCTCAGTCGAAGGTTTATGCACTTATCTGGAATCGCATAGTTCCACTTTGTTTCCAATAAACAAAATGTAAATTTTGGATATTGCAGTTTTATCTGGAATTCATCTTGTGTCCCAAGAATCCAAACTCATTGCTCTCTCTCTCTCTCTTTTTCTCTAACTTTAAATTATATAAGAATATATAAATATTCATTAACACAGTAGTATAGAAAATAAACTTTCCAACAGCCAATTATGAATGTTAGAAAAAACTTGATAATATATACCAACTTGAAAACCATTGCAATAACCAATCAAATTTACCCATGTGTTTTTGCCTTCATTCTGTTCCTTGTTTGACCCTTACAGCTTCTGAAATTTGCATAAATGTTTCCATTATGTATCATAAATAGAGTTCTATATCATTCATGCTTGTAAAACTTGTAATTTTTATAAGTTGTATGTGTGTGTTTATACACGCACACACCTATGCACCCACATTCGTAGTCGTTACAAATGAAAAAAATATAAACTTTGAATCTTACTATTTTGTTCTCACATTTATATTGCTGACACATATACTGATTTTTATAGCTCCATTTCATTCTTTTGGATTTCTGTATACTATTCCTTGCATGACTATATCAACATAGACTTATCCATTCTTCTTTTTATAGGCAATTTTGTAATTTCAGTGTTTCCCTGTTATGACTCATGTCTTTCTGATTACTTCTGTATTTAATCCCTTGCATGCATATACAGGATTAAGTGGCATATCTAGCTAGAAGTGAAATTATTGGGTTTTGGAACAAGTTGATGTTCAACTTTAATAGATAGTGCAAAATACTTCCAATATGAGCAAAAAAATCACCAGAGGAAGAATGTTTATGAATTTTATTCCTTTTTGCAGGGAACAATCTTTTGGTTTCATATGTTTTTCTCTGTCATGTATGTATGTATGCACACATATGTACATGCATGTATGTATTTTTGTTTATTATCATTCACTTCTTTGCTTCAACTTACTTTTGAATTCATTTACTCTTTTGAAAAATGTCTTAAAGTGAGCTTCAGATCTTTATCTAAACCTTTCTTCTCAACACAGTCATTTGAAGCTTAAAGTCCCTTACAGCACTGTTTTATCTGGATCACTCATCATTTGATATGGCAAGTGCTCATTTTCACTAAGTATGACATATTTTCTTTTTCTTTTTTGATTCTTTATTCCTTTTTTTATTGTGATAATATTGGTTTATAACGTTATGTAAATTTCATGTGTACTTCATTATATATTGCAATTTATGTATAGATTACAACATATTCACCACCCAAAGACTAGTTACAATCTATCACCACACACATGTGCCTAATCACCCCTTTTGCCCTCCTTCCTTCCTCCTCCCCTCTGGTAACCACCAATTCAGTCTCTGTTTCTGGGTGTTAGTTTGTCGTTGTTTTTGTCTTCTACTTATGAGTGAGATCATATGGTATCTGACTTTCTCCCCTGACTTATTTCACTTAGCATAATGCCCTCAAGGTCCAAGTATGTTGTCACAAATGGCTGGATTTCATCCTTTCTTATGGCTGAGTAATATTCTATTGTGTATATATACAGCGTCTTCCTTATCCATTAAGTATTAAATATTTTATGCTTTCCTTTGCAATGTTTTTCTCTGACCCATTGGTAATTTAGATGTGTGTTCACTAATTTCCAAATATCTGATGATTTGTCAGCTAGTTCTTGATCAAATATTTCTATTTTAATTCAGCTGTTGCTGTAAATCATATTCTCTATGATTCATTATTTTAAAATTGATCTTGCTGAATGTTCCAAGGGCACTAGACAGGACTGTGGATTAGGACATTTTAGGGTGGAAGGTTTTCTAAATATCATTTAGGTAAAAAGGGTTGAACTGCTTTTCACGTCTTTTATATCCTTTCTGATTTTCTGTCTACTTGGTCTCTCACCTTCCTAGAGGGGAGTGCTGATATCTCTAGCTATAATTTGGATGTGATCAATTCTGCTCTCCATTCTGTCTTTGTTTTAATGTATTTTGAGTTTCCAAATTTAGGTGCATATGCATTTGGAATGGTTACATCCTTTTTTGAACCTGCTCTATCATTATGAAGCACTATTTTTCTATCTCCATCTTTCCCAGTTTTAGAGTTTGTGTGGATAAAATCTTCCATTATTTTAGTTTTAAAAGTTTTCTTGAGGTATCCTTTACATATCATAAAATTAACCTGTTTTACAAACACAGTTCACTGACTATTAGTACTATGTTTAGAGTTGTACATCATACCAGTACAACTAATGTCATTCTTTTACGCTCTACTTATCAATGTCGTCTTAATTGAAGTAGACTTCATGCAGACAGCACATGATTGGGTTTTGGTAAGAAATATTTCACAATTCCACACAAATATACTCCTTCTAGTAGTCTTTTTTTTTTTTTTTTGAAATTCAAGTTTCCAACTAGTGTGATCAATCTTTTGCCTCAATAACTTAATTTAATATTTATTGTAGAACGAAGTTTCTGGGAACAATTTTCTTAATCTTTAGTTGACTGAGAAATATTTAATTTCATCTTTATTGCTAAAAACTCTTTTTTGGGTTATAGAACTCTTGGATGAAATATTTTCTTTCAGTACTTTAAAAATGTTGATCTGTTGACTTCCCACATCCATAGTTTCCAATGAAAAACATGCTATCATTCTTAATTTCTTACTTTATATACAATGTGATTTCCCCTCACCTCTGGCTGCTTTTAAGATTTCTGTGTTCTTCAACCATTTGAATGAGATTTATTTTGAGCAGTGTTCTTTATGTTTTTACTTCTTCAGAGTCATCACAAAACTGGGTAAGTTAGTTTATATTTGTTATCAAATATGAACAAATTTGGGCCATTATATCTTCAGATATTTTTCTGTCTTCTCCTCCTATCTTTGTACACATATGCAACACCAATCCAATTACACATATGTAACACCATATACTTATAGCCATGGGTCACTGCGGCTCTGTTCATTTGTTCTAATACTTTTTTCTATTTGTCTTTCATTTCGGAGAGTTCCTATTGCTATATTTTCAATTTTACTAAACATTTACCCTGTAATGTCTAATCTGCTATTAATGTGATGCACTGAATTATTTTGTTTTTTCACTTTTGATATCCTTTGCATAGAATTTCCTAATTGCTTCTTTATTATATTTAAAAGTTTATTTTGAAACATTATATTGTATTTTCTCTTTAATGCTGAAACATATTTATAATATCCATAATAAAATTTCTCTATTGAAATTGCCAGTTTCATGATTTTTTAAATTTATGGATTTCCTTATATTGTATCATCTTTCTCCTGCATATTTACACATTTCCCAGTTCCTTGAACGTCTAGCAATTTTTGATTGGAATGAGAACATTATGAATGTTATTTGTTGAGTACTGGATTTTGGTGTCTTCTTCTAAAGAGTGTTACGTCCTTTTGGCATGCAGTCAGATACCCGGCAGAGCAGCTTCTGTTCTTGGAAGTCTTCAGATTTCCAATTCCCAAATATTCTTTTACCAGAAATGTAGAGTTTCGCTCTATGCTTGTGTGGCTTTTACTGGTCAACAAACTCAATTGATCCCTTATGCAGACATCTGGAAGCTCCTCCTCCAGTTCTATTGGTTATAAAATTCTATATTCTTCAGCTGTCCTGTGCTCTGAACTCCATCTCCTCTATACAGGAGACCACGATATCTTGTTTGAGATTCTCCTCCTACACTGTAGTCTAGAACTGCATCCAAGCAGGTAACCTGTACTCAGTTCACTTGTCTTCATTATCTTGGTATCATACTCATGTCCTGGCAGTTGTCCTACATCCAAAATTCAGTGCCACAGGGACAGGCTCATGGTGGAAAGTAGAGGTTTCTCTTGTCCTCATCCAGCATCAATTTTAGGCAGTATCTATGTGCCTGGGCCTTGAGGGTGGGGCTCGCTCAGTGTTTCTGTCCCTCTTCCCCATGGCAGCCAGACTCAAACTTGTGTGTTTTCCTAAACTTGTGGAAATCCCTATTCCTCAGTTAGGAGTTGCAAATCATGTGTCCTACACTCCCCCTAGGGGAAGAGGGTTCCTAAAAGTTTACCCTTCTTCCAGCCACAATGGGTCATTACTTGGGATCTGAGGTCGACAGTTTTTGCTGAACCTCCCCCAGTGGATTGAGGCTTTTACTAGCATGTGAGAAAAGGATCTTGGCAGGGGATGAAATTTTAAGTCCTACATAGCGACAGCTAATCATGTTGGCACCATCAGACCTCCATTTAATTCAGTTGTATGGCATCCAAAAAATCAAGATGGATTGTGGCAGGTGATGCTGGACCACCACAAACTTAATCATATTTCCAAATGTGGCTATTATTATGGGTGGATATATTTAATAGATATATTTGTTGTATCTATTTATTACAACATAATTTTTATTTAGTCATTGATTTGGTGAATGTTATTTCCAAAATACATCAGAAAGAGTGATCAGAAATATATACATTCACTTGATAAAGACAACAGTACGCATGCACCATCATGCCCAGAGCTTTGCTCA